CTGCATGCCCCCTCGATCGGTCCCAGCATGCTCTCTATAACTAATGCTTCTCTGGTCTCTGGTCAGGTCCCTGCCTACTTTAAGAACGCTGTAATCCACCCGCTTCTTAAAACACCGAGTCTCGACCCCTCTCTCCATAGCAGCTTCAGACCCATCTCTAAACTTCCGTTCATCTCCAAGATCTTGGAAAAGGTTGTGGCTAAACAACTCACAGCTGCTCTTGATGAACAGAACATCTATGATAGCTTCCAGTCAGGTTTTCGTAGAGTTCATTCTACTGAAACCGCTCTTCTTAGGGTCTCTAATGACCTTCTGACTCACAGTGATGCAGGGTTCTGGTTCTGGTCCTGCTGGACCTGACTGCAGCCTTTGACACTGTTGACCATCACCTGCTACTGGAGAGGCTGAGAGACTGGGTAGGCCTATCAGGATCTGCTCTGGAGTGGTTCTCCTCTTATCTCTCTGAGGGCTCCTTTTCTGTGGCAGTCTCCAAGTTTAGGTCCTCCACCACCTCCCTTACCCATGGTGTCCCACAAGGTTCTGTGCTGGGGCCTCTGCTCTTCCTCCTCTGTCTGCTTCCTCTTCAGCACATCCTGAGCTCCTTCAAAGGAATCTCCTACCATCTTTACACAGATGACATCCAACTGTACATCTCCTTTAAGCCCCATGAGATGTCTAAGCTGCAGCTGTTACACACCTGCTTAGACTCTATCAAAACCTGGATGGTGGGAGCTTTCTTCAGCTGAATGAAGATAAGACTGAGATCCTCATCTGTGCCCCAGACAAGCTGGTTCCCAAAGTCAGAGACTCTCTTGGTCAGCTTGCTTCCCACACCAAACCCTCCGTCAGGAATCTTGGCGTGACCTTTGACCCAGCTCTCACCCTGGATTCTCATGTCAGTTCTCTTGTTGGCTCTTCCTTCTTCCATCTCAGGAACGTTGCTAAGCTGAGTCCCATTCTGTCCCGCTCTGAACTTGAGACGGTTCTCCACTCCTTCATCTCCTCACGCTTAGACTACTGTAACTCTCTTTTCACGTGTCTGAGCAGAACCTCCCTGAACCGTCTACAGGTGGTTCAGAACGCCTGTGCTCGGCTTCTGACCAAGTCCTCCAAACACACCCACATCACCCCGCTTCTCCTCCAGCTTCACTGGCTGCCAGTCAACTTCAGGGTTCATTTCAAGATCCTGGTTCTGGTCTATAGGGCCTTACATGGACAAGCACCATCTTACATTGGTGATCTTCTTAGTCCCTACACCCCCAGCAGGTCCCTGAGGTCCAGTGATCAAAGCCTACTGGTTGTGCAGCACCAGGCCAAAGACCAAAGGTGACAGATCATCTGCTGCTGTCGCCCCCAGACTCTGGACCTCTCTCACCCTGAGCCTGAGATCAGTGGACTCAGTGGTCTCCTTTAAAAAGCAGCTGAAGACTCACTTGTTCAAGCTGGCTTTTGTATGACCTTCTTCACCTCTCTCTCTTTATTCTGCTCTCCCCACCTATTCCACCTTCCTCAGGATCCACTGATTTCCCTCTTTCCTATTCACTCTCTCTTTCTTAACATTTTTTTGATCACAATTGTCTATTTTTTGCTCATTTTAAATATATTTTTAACCATTTTCTAAATTGTTTTTTATATTTTAACATTTTTGTTTTTGTGAAGCGCCTTGTGATTTTTATCTTGAGAGGTGCTATAGAAATGATATTTTCTTCTTCTTCTTCTTCTTGTGACTCCCACGTGTCAGTCTGAAGTATATTTAGAAGGAATTCTTTGAAAAAAGACTTTGTTTAATAATTTAATTCCTAGTTGAATCCATCAGCATGTTTTTGCTCTGTGTTGTTGTAGGTTATGAGATGCAGTAAAATAGCCAGCGTCAAAGTGTCTGAAATCACTGAACTCATCAGTCAAGCCTTGTTAAATGACAAGGCTGCCAGGTGAGTGGCTGTCTCCTATTTATTACTACATTACCCACAATTCCCTTTAGAGGCTACATTTGAATGATGTGTTTGAAACGTTCCAGGAAGGCAGGTGGTAAATGTGGCTTTGCCGAGTCCATGCCTCAGGATCGGATCACAGCTCTGAAAATGGACCAGACCGATGTAGAGATGACCAACGTGAGCCAAACAGGAAGTGGGGTGATCCTCCAGGGAGATGAAGCCCCGCCCCCAACGTATCCTGAACTGAAATGAAAGGACAAAAAAGGAACGGCATTTGTTTTTGTTTCTGACAGTTAGTCTCCCTAACCACACACCCATACCAGAGTCCCATCCCCAGTGGTGCCGGTGCCAGGTGTTGGTCAGGTGGGTCAGGGTCTGCAGAGCTGGGGACTGGAGGAGGAAGAAGAAGATGATGATGATGAGGAGGAGGAGAGCAGTGGAGATGACCAAGTGGAAGAAGTGACACAGATAAAACTGTCAGAAAAAGACAAGAAAGAAGGTTATTTGTTTTCATAACTAAAAGTCATGGAAGAAGAAAAAAAATTATAATTGAACTTTAATGTGTTTTGTCTTACAGCAGCTGTGGTGGAGATTTCAGACAGTGAGGAAGAGGAGGTGGTCATACTTTATCCAGAGACGACAGAGAAATCAAAGTAACATCTATTTGTTTGATATGAAGCCGAGGAGGTTGATAAATTAAACTAATCTCACCGGTTTCTGATTTTTTTCTTCTTCAGGAATTCTGGGTCCAGATCTGACCAGAAGGGGGCAGCAGCATCCAAGAAACGCCAGAAGAAATGACCGCAGCTTGAAACCGAAACAGAGAAAATACTACAATAATATGATATCGAAAAAGGCTTAAAACTGATTCAAATAAATTTATTTTTTACATTTCTAGAATCATTGTTGCGCGAATCAAAAGTTTGTCCATCATATGTCACTCATAAGAAACTTAAATAAGTCATGAGTCAGGTTCACGATAACACACGAGATTCACGCTTAGACAAAAATTCACCGTGTAGATGTGATGGTGGAGTGATAAAAAAAACAAACCAATTTACGTTAAAAATAATCAGGTTCCACCGAGATTTGAACTCGGATCGCTGGATTCAGAGTCCAGAGTGCTAACCATTACACCATGGAACCATACTGGCATCGTCGGGCGAACTCCTTCCTATTGAAAAGCAGCAGAGACATACTGTTAATTTGTTTCTGTTTAGGTTTGCAGACACAACAGATATCTTTCGTTAAATGAATGCCAGTAGCACATTGAATTGCCTCTGTGTATGAAATGTGCAATATAAATAAAGCTGCCTTGCCTAGTGAAATGCGTTGTGGAGTCCTCTGGCGTCACATAAGTGCAGATCATTTATGGTTAAAATAATGACGGATTTGGACAGAGTAAAAATAACTAAGTGGCCCGTACGGGGATCGAACCCGCGACCTTGGCGTTATTAGCACCACGCTCTAACCAACTGAGCTAACCGGCCGTGATGAGATCTGATGACAGGTTTTGTTAAATAGAAGGAATGTAGTCATCAGTTTTTTGAAGTAGTTTTTGCTTACCGTGGTTAGTTGAAACGCAACTGTGTGTGCTCAGCTTTTGACCAAATACTCAAAACACACCCACATCACCCCACTTCTCCTCCAGCTTCACTGGCTGCCAGTCAACTTCAGGGTTAATTTCAAGATCCTGGTTCTGGTTTTTAGGGATCTTCTCAGTCCTCACACCCCCAGCAGGTCCCTGAGGTCCATTGACCAACTGAGGTCCAAATACCACTGGTTGTTCAGCACACCAGGCTAAAGGTCAAAGGCTGGCCCCCAGAATCTGGAACTCTCTCCCCCTGAGCCTGAGATCAGTGGACTCAGAGCTCTCCTTTAAAAAGAAGCAGAACACTCACCTATTCAGGCTGGCTTTGGTGTGATCTTTGGTTGATTCTTCATCACTACCTTCTCCTCATTCAGCTCTTTCTACCAATTCTGCCTTAGCTAATTATGGCAGATGTAATGCATAACAGAAACAGAGAAGCTAAAAAGGTCTTTTTTTTTATTATATTTTTGACTGTAGTTTTCATGGTTTTTCTGTAACATAATGCTGTAATTTCCTTTGATTTGTTTTCTTTGTTCACATTTTGTAACCCCTCTTCCTGTTTATAAACAAGTGAACTTTACGAAACTTGAAAAGATTCATTCAACTTTTACGTCTTTTGGTATAAGGAATGTCAAAATAAGAACTTAACGTTTCCTTCCGCCTTGCTTTTTGACTGACAGTTCCCAGGACCAATCGTGTATTGATATTTGTATTGAGCCAATCACATCCTAGGGGCGGGGCCAGACGTGAGTTGGTTCTCTTCTTGTTCGGGTTCGGTGTTAGAATCGGAAATTTAAAGTTCTGTGAACATGTCTAACAAGTCGGAGGCTAGCAGCGGAGGTAAAAATTTTAATACATCTGTAATTCAAAACCTTGACATGTCTTTACTGTTTCTAGCCATTCTAACCTGCTTTTACTTTTCAATGTTATTTAGCTTCCAGTTAAACTTATTGTGCTGTTATACAAAGAAAGTGAGATTTCTTTAGCTTGATAAATTCACCATATAAGTTTTATTCTATAATGTCGGTCAGGTCATTTCTTTTTGAGGATCTAAGAGTTTTTCTTTGTTGTCTGACACACCCTACCAGGAAGTGCTGCAAATGACAGTAAGACAACCACTGACAGCAAAGGTGAGTAACCTTTAAACGTGCGGGTTGTACCTCAGTCAGAACAAAAGTGAAACAATGCAATCTATTTATTGTATAAGTAAATTATTAATAAAAGGGTTCAGGTTGTTTTCAGATGTTTCATGTGGGTAATTTAATCTCTCATGCTCTGTATAGGTTTATTGTAGGTTTACCTGAGTGCTTTCAGTATGAAGTGAAAACGGAACAAGTTAGTAAATCTCATAATAAAACCTCTGAGTTCACATTTTATGAGGGTTTGTCCTGTTGCTGACATGCAGAGCAAGTTTTTTTTTAATCATAAATCTTGCAGCAGTGTAAACACCGCCATTATACTGTTGGGCAGTCCAGACGAACTGTGTGTGAAAACAATGGGACCTGTTAAAAAAATGAGGTGCGAACAAAGCAGATGAGTTTATTTTTTAAACTGATACAACTATGTAATAAGTTATTGAACTTGAACACAACAGTATATTCCAAGGTGCTTGTAATTCTAACAAGCTAAAAACAAATAAGAAGTGTCAGTCTTAACATGACAAAATATGAAAGCTATTGAGAAGTCATGTTAAAAAAAACTAAATCAAAGATGTTTGATTAAAGTTCTGTGAACATGTCTGACATGCAAAAATCTTGCATTGATGATGATAGACTGGTTAAATAAACCTAAAACATGATTCACAAAGAATGAAATAAATTAAAAGTAAACTTTTACAGGAAAGTAAAAATGTTACCTATATAATAAGTTATTCATTGCTTCCCGCTTCATTTTAAATCAGTTATTATTTAAATATTGTGAAACAATGGCTGCTTGACTCGCATGCACTTCAAACTGAATTGGGTAACAATTATTTTAAAGTGCTTTTGCAACAGTTTAAAGAGCCAATCATGCCCATCTACTAACTTAGGGTCCATGGGTCCCCTACAGCCAAAGGGGGAGTCAACGAACCAATGACAGTTATTTTCAGATCCCGTTTTGATATGTGCCATCATGGATTTCACATAAGAAGTCCCTGAATTGTAAAGACATGCTCTGATGCCAAGAAAGGGCTTATTTTTGACAGGTGGCAAAAGTAAATTTAGGTTTGGTGAAAACAAGTAGAGGACTCCAACTTCTCATTTCACAACATTTACATGTTTCCCAACCCTGGTCCTCAGGGCACACTCCTACATGTTTTCCATGTCTCTGCTTCAACACACCTGATTTACATCGGCTCCTCAAGACGACATCAAATGCTGCAAATGCCTGTTATTCACTCTTCAGGTGTGTGGCAGCAGGGAAACACTGGTGTTTTAAAAAGGCAACATGGAAAACATGCAGGACGGTGGGCCCTGAGGACCGGGGTTGGGAAACACTGATTTACGTCATCAAACCAGAGAAGGAGGAGAAAAACGGCTGGAGTTTAGCGAGCTTCACATCCTTCTTTCAGGATGAAATAAAAAGCATTAAACGTGGAGAAAACCACAATCAATCTGGTCGTGTGGTAAGTAGCAGCTACACTGGAGGAGATGAGATTCTGCGGTGATTTTCACAATCAAATACAGGTCCTTCTCAAAAATTAGCATATTGTGATAAAGTTCATTATTTTCTGTAATGTACTGATAAACATTAGACTTTCATATAAATTAGATTCATTACACACAACTGAAGTAGTTCAAGCCTTTTATTGTTTCTAATATTGATGATTTTGGCATACAGCTCATGAAAACCCAAAATTCCTATCTAAAAAAATTAGCATATCATGAAAATGTTCTCTAAACAAGCTATATACTTAATCATCTGAATCAACTAATAAACTCTAAAAACCTGCAAAAGATTCCTGAGGCTTTTAAAAACTCCCAGCCTGGTTCATTACTCAAAACCGCAATCATGGGTAAGACTGCTGACCTGACTGCTGTCCAGAAGGCCATCATTGACACCCTCAAGCAAGAGGGTAAGACACAGAAAGAAATTTCTGAACGAATAGGCTGTTCCCAGAGTGCTGTATCAAGGCACCTCAGTGGGAAGTCTGTGGGAAGGAAAAAGTGTGGCAGAAAATAATGCACAACAAGAAGAGGTGACCGGACCCTGAGGAAGATTGTGGAGAAGGACCGATTCCAGACCTTGGGGGACCTGTGGAAGCAGTGGACTGAGTCTGGAGTAGAAACATCCAGAGCCACCGTGTACAGGCGTGTGCAGGAAATGGGCTACAGGTGCCGCATTCCCCAGGTCAAGCCATTTTTGAACCAGAAACAGCGGCAGAAGCGCCTGACCTGGGCTACAGAGAAGCAGCACTGGACTGTTGCTCAGTGGTCCAAAGTACTTTTTTTGGATGAAAGCAAATTTTGCACGTCATTCAGAAATCAAGGTGCCAGAGTCTGGAGGAAGAATGGGCAGAGGGAAATGCCAACATGCCTGAAGTCCAGTGTCAAGTACCCACAGTCAGTGATGGTCTGGGGCGCCATGCCAGCTGCTGGTGTTGGTCCACTGTGTTTTATCAAGGGCAGGGTCAATGCAGCTAGCTATCAGGAGATGTTGGAGCACTTCATGCTTCCATCTGCTGAAAAGCTTAATGGAGATGAAGATTTCATTTTTCAGCACGACCTGGCACCTGCTCTCAGTGCCAACACCACTGGTAAATGGTTTACTGACCATGATATTACTGTGCTCAACTGGCCTGCCAACTCTCCTGACCTGAACCCCGTAGAGAACCTGTGGGATATTGTGAAGAGAAAGTTGAGAGACACAATACCCAACACTCTGGATGAGCTTAAGGCCGCTATCGAAGCATCCTGGGCCTCCAGAACACCTCAGCAGTGCCACAGGCTGATTGCCTCCATGCCACGCCGCATTGAAGCAGTCATTTCTGCTAAAGGATTCCCGACCAAGTATTGAGTGCATAACTGAACATGATTATTAGAAGGTTGACTTTTTTATACTAAAAACACTTTTCTTTTATTGGTCGGATGAAATATGCTAATTTTTTGAGATGGGAATTAGGAATTTTGGGTTTTCATGAGCTGTACGCCAAAATCATCAACATTAGAAACAATAAAAGGCTTGAACTACTTCAGTTTTGTGTGATGAATCTAATATATATGAAAGTCTAATGTTTATCAGTACATTACAGAAAATAATGAACTTTATCACAATATCCTAATTTTTTGAGAAGGACCTGTAAATCTTAAATTACGCGACAATGTCAAGGGTAGAATGCCTTCTTCGGGTCAGGGATGAGGTCCTGCCTCAAGTGGAGGAGTTTAAGTATTTCGGGTTCTTGTTCACGAGTGAGGGAAAACTGGAGCGTAAGATCGATAGGCGGATTGGTGATGTGTCTGCAGTGATATGGGCGTTGTACCGGTCTGTCGTGGTGAAGAAAGAGCTGAGCCAGAAGGCAAAGCTCTTGATTTACTGGTCGATCTATGTTCCTACCCTCACCTGTGGTCACAAGCTTTGGGTGGTGACCGAAAGAATGAGATTGCAGACACAAGCGGTCGAAATGAGTTTTCTCCGCAAAGTAGCTGGGCTCTCTCTTCGAGATAGGGTGAGAAGCTCGGCCATCCGGGAGGGGCTTGGAATAGACCCGCTGCTCCTCCACGTTGAGAGGAGCCACTTGAGGTGGCTCGGGCATTTGGTCAGGATGCCTCCTGGATGCCTCTCTGGTGAGGTTTTCCAGGCACGTCCAACTGGTAGGAGATCTAAAGCAAGACCCAGGACATGCTGGAGGGACTACGTCTCTCGCCTGGCCAGGGAATACCTCCCCAGAGGAGCTGGCCCAAGTGGCTCGGCAGAGGGAAGTCTGGGCGTCTGTGCTTAGGCTGCTGCCTCCGCAACCCGACCTCGGATTAGCGAGAATGGATGGATGGTTGGATTACGTGACAGTAGCGATGGGTACAGAATTCGGTACTTGTTAAGGTACCGACCGAACTCTATAGTACCGACTGAGCACCGATTCACGTCATTTAAAACGGTGCCTTGTTTCTGTACCCGTCCTTCATAACGAGAACTTGCCTAGACAGCTGCGCATGCACAAGAGCGTTATGTCGTCGGTCGCTGCGAGCCAGTTGTTAACAGAGCAGCATGGTAGAAAGAACGCACGCTAAAGCTTGGGTCCACTTCACTAAATGTGATGGGTAACTGGGTGATGATGAAACCAGCGACAACGATCTAAATGTGAGGCGTCATCGTTTTAATCTGCTCCGATAGCTAAATAAAATGTTTTAGATAATGTTAGCTTGATATGTTAGCTTCCGTTTCGCTAATGGTGCGTTCACTTTCTCCTCGGAATTCCGAATATCCGGCTAGAAGAACATGAACGCGCTCTAAAGTTAGGCTTCACTTTACTAAATGCGACGGGTGATTGGGTGAAGATGAAACCAGCGACAACGATCTAAGTGTGAGGCATCATCGTTTTAATCTGCTCCAGCAGCTAAATAAACTGTTTAAGATAACGTTAGCTTGATATGTTAGCTTCCATTGCCACCATTGTTATCATCTGATGGTGCGTTCGCTTTCTCCTCGGAAATTCTAACTTCCCAGTAGGTAAAATCAATTGAAAATGGACGGTAAAAGGAATGAAGATACACAGTAAATTTAGTTCACAGTAAAGATGTTTGCTTCAGTTTAATTATCAGCTTATAAAACTACAAGGACAATGTTAAAATACAAACAGTTGTATGTTATTAATCGTGATATTTGTCAAATATGGTTATATATTGAGAAAAATATATATTTAATTATAAAAGAGAATTAAAATATTAAACACTCAAAAGTATCTAAAATTGGTACCGTTAAGTACCGGTATCGATTCTTTGGTACAGGGAATTAGTACCGAATTGATTCAAATGTCAAAGGTACCCATCCCTGTGTGACAGACAGTCGAAACACACATAATTATCTATCAGTTAAGTTGAAGTACAGCATATGTGTGATTTAGGGTGTAAGGCAAAGCGGATCAGAAATGATCTTTTCCAACCCCGTTCACTTACATCCTTGAGCCGACTGGAAGGGGAGTGGATTTAGGCTTCCTACTGTAGTTACAAACAAGTTAATTGTACATTTATGTCTGTTTCTGCAGTTTGCACAGAGAACTTAACAGAGACGGATGCCTTCATCACAAAGTAAAACGTTTCTCCTTCTTTGTATTGACATCAGCTTGTGATCTCCTTCTCCTTTACATCCAAAACAGCATTTTTGAGCGCCTTTTAACTTTTATTTTTCAAACAGCTCTTTAAACCTGGATCCCGCAGAGGAGTACAATATGGGCCACAAACAACGAGGGCTCGCTCTTATCTTTAATCAGGACTACTTCTACTGGCTTCTGGGGTTAGGTGCCAGAAGTGGATCAGAAGCTGATCGCAACAACTTGGCGAGAAGGTGAAATGTACTGGGCAGCTGCTGAGAGTTTACTGGCTTCTCTTCACCAGATTTAAACTAATTCTCACTTTTTTCTCCAAAGACTGAAGCAGCTAAACTTCGAAGTGAGGTGTTACGACAACCTCAAACAGGTGGAGATCCTGGAAAAAATCCATGAAGGTACTTTCATAAATGATCACTTATAAAAGTGACTCATTGGTCTGAAATGTTGTACAGGATGTGTTTTGGGTTGTAAAGTCGAAAGTTGCACTAATGAGTGACGTCTCTTCAGCTGCTGAGGAGGACCATTCGGACGCCGACTGCTTTCTGCTCACCTTCATGAGCCACGGCGAGGACGATCACGTTTTCGCCCACGATGGAAAGATTAACATCCAGGAGATCACAGCCATGTTTAAAGGAGACAAGTGCAAGACACTTGTAGGGAAACCAAAGATCTTCATAATGCAGGTACACACAAAGCAGCACAAAGTTAAAGAGCAAGTCACCCCCTACCAGAGTATTACTCCACTCCCACTTCCTGTTTGAAAAATGCAACAAATGCTGTTGCCCAGCAGACCGAGAGGGCGGAGCCGCTAACAAATACACACAGACTCACAACGACATTGTGACATCATTAGGTACCAGCTAACATTCTAGGGTACCTCTTAGCCAATAGCGATGGCAGATTTAAATTCTACTGCAGTGCAGAGTTTTTACCTGACAACGGCACAACACTGACAGTTTTAGGCTGAAAATTTAAATTTTACCTAAAATTAACTAAAGTGCAAAACTATTGACTACACGTGTCTGCAGCACAATCAGACACGCATTTATATAGTTTATCAGAAAAAAAAGAGTTGATTTGGGGGTGAGTTGCTCTTTAAATTAGAAAAATCTTCATGCTTTTTTGCAAACAAACATATTTTGTGTGACTAGGCATGTCGCGGGGACAAACACGATGTGCCGGTAACTCAGTGCGATGTTGTGGACAATAAGGTAAATGAGGTGGTGGTCGACGCCAGCTCCATCCACACACTCCCTGCTGGTGCTGATTTTGTCATGTGCTACTCTGTGGCTCAGGGTAAGTTGTTTGGATCATTTGATTATTTTGGTCTGTTTGTTTTGTTGCTTTTAAACATAGGGAAGACGTCAGAAAAATATCATAGACTTCATAACGTTGTACTAATGGGCGGACCACAGAAAGTTGCTGAGCAGGATGTCCTCTGGTTTTGAGAGGAAGTAGCATGATGCGTCTTTCATCTGCCTTTTTGTGCTCGTCGTCATGTGTTTGACACACGGTAGCGATATTAGGCTGTTCCTCATTCAGTTCATTTCTACTTTAGGCAAACTGATACGTTTTACGCCTGACTGTGTTCCTACAAAAACCTGTGTATCAAGAAGAATCCATGACAAAAGAATGAATCAATTGATACTTAATCTGTTCATTCAATTGGTTTAATTTCCATTTATTCTTTTTGTCAAGGTTACTTTTCCCACAGGGAGACTGTCAATGGCTCCTGGTACATCCAGGATCTGTGTGAGCTGCTTTGGAGGTTCGGCAATACCCTTGAATTTACAGAGTTACTCACCCTGGTCAACAGGAAAGTGTCTATGAGGTCTGTCGGGAACGCCAGAGACCCTAATGCTATTGGGAAGAAGCAAGTGCCCTGCTTTGCTTCGATGCTCACTAAGAAACTCTATTTTAGAACAAATAAGTAACGCCCTAGGGCTGCAGGTTAAAGGTGTGGTTAACTGAAAAAACACTTTTTAATTATTATTTCTGATTATAATTGGTTACTTAGAAATTTTCATGCAGGCTGAACATGAAATGTCTTCCTGCGTTAGCTTCTGACAGAAAATATACAGTGAAATGCTAGGATTTGAAAATCCTCACGTACCTATGTCACACTGTGAATTTGCATTCATGGCCTCGCCCCTCTTGGCTCGTGCCCGCCCACAGGAAGGATTTAAAAAAATGCAGCTAGAGCGGAGAGCATTGCCTAATCCCAATACTCGCACTTTGCACCCTTCATTTGTGCGTTCCCGGCCAGGGGTGCGAGTGCGTAGGGTGTCCCGATTCTCAAGTGCGGAACGTGGCCACGCCCTCATTGCACCCTTAATCTGCACTTCACCCAAGTCCGCAGCGATGCGGACCTCGGGCAAGGGTATTACCCACAAGTCATTGCTGCAGGAGAAAAGGCTCAAGTTCTTTTTCTGAAATTAGTTACATTTATGACGATTATTTGATGCTCTAAAACTTTTAGACAAAGCAGCAATAAATGTAAATTTGTTTCAAATAACTGCTGCTTGTTTAAAAGTTGTTAATAAAGGTTTTTAAAAAAAGTATCACAGCGACCAGCATCCCGGCATGCGTTGCGATCGATGACGCAATGCTCACGGTTTCAATTCTTCAATTATTTGCACACTTGTGTATGACACACTCACCCTACTGCGCACTTTCTCCAAGTGCACTTTGCTGAAGTCCACAGGGCGCAGTGTGAGTATTGAGATTGGGCCCATCTTGGTGATATTGACTTTGCAACATGGCTGTACGCGTTCTCTTAGCCAATCAGAAGCAAAGTGTGTGCATATCATTAATGAGTAATCCTGCTGTTTTCAGCCCACCTCTGCACCAGCAAACTTCTGCATCTTAGAATATCTTAGAATAGGAGCATTATAGCTTTTTTTAAAATGACTCATAAGTCACTGATTTACACTAGAGAACACTGCAGATTTATTGAGTCGAGTAAACCACACCTTTAAAACTAGCTTTAAGAGGGGAACACTATCAGGGGAAAGGAAAAGTATCATGTAGTTTACAACCTTAATGCTTCAAGTAAAATAACGTGCTACAAGTTCAGAAACCACAGTTTGTCGCTTTAAAAGCATATTACATTGTGTTGGTGGGTGGTTTTTTTTTTTTTTTTTGCACTTTTACTCCAGTGTCATATTCAAAACTTCTTTGACTACATTTTCCCACCGGTAAAAGGTTTTTAACTATAGGCTGGAACTTCCAGGGATATCTGTCTTTTATGTCTTAGAGCTGCAGTTTTGTTCCATCAGATCATCATTCTTATTTTTAAAAAGGGAATTGCCGTTTGTGCCGTACGTCTAGCTGTTGTTCGTGGTACGATATTGAATAAAACAGCACTCTTAAATCACAATCTCAGGAAACCTAATTAATTGCCCTTTGGGACCAATAAAGTTTTCTGAATCCAACACAGGAGTGCATTTTCTTGTAGCTGTAGGGTGGACTTTAGTGACTTCCTGCTGTCGTATCATCTTTATCAAAATGAAACCTACCAGAATAACCGCTGATGCGTTAATTTTTTTGTTTTTTGTGATCAAATCACTGAGATTTTGTACAACTGTAGCTTTTTAGCTGCTGGTTTGGTTTAATACTCTGAAATAAAAAAATAATCTGGGCAAAAAGATTGCGTCTCCTCTTTATGTTGTAATAAAACTTACTAATTTCCAATCAAAACACTACAGAAAGAGCTTTTTTCTTAAGTGGTTTAACAGACTGAGACAGAATATTCAGCAAATGCAAACTTTATTCATCAGTGTTTGAATATCTAAGAGCACAGTATATGGCATCATCAGGACTGTTACCAACTCAGAATAATAATTCCAAAGTTATAATCATCAAAACAAACTGAAACATGTGTTTTTGCTGTGTTTGAGTGGTTATTTGTAGTTTATGGCTTTGGCTGGATCTGTTCGAGCGGTAGCTGAAGTTGATTTGGACCTCTCAGACGTCTCAGGTCGTCCTCCACCTGACAAACAAACAGACATTTTTTTTAAATAACATGTATTTTATGAAAGCAGTGGCTCATAAATGAGGAAAGCAGAATGATCAGCTAGACCTGTGCCAGTTCCTCTTTCAGTTGGTTGTATTTGTCAACGTTGAAGTTCTTCGTCCTGGCCCCTTTATAAAAGTATCGTAGAAACTGTCTATCTTTAGCGTCTGGGTAAACGTAATCCTGCTGGACAGAATAAACAGGATCAGAACAGTTGGAAGTCTTCTTGCTAACGTGATGATTCTGAACAGCCTGGCTCCAGGTGGAATTGATTATATTATCCCAGGGATCTGGTTCCACCTCCCTAAGCCTTCATGTTACACCTGATCTCCCCCAGAACTCCACTACCCAGCATGCACCACACCTGATTTCCTGCTAACATCACCAACCCAGCCTAAATACTGAACGTGTTTACCCGAACCACCAGTCTACCCAACTGACCGGTCAGCTCCTGTGTCTTCTTTCACTACTTTGGAGCCGTGGTACACTCTTCTACCCTTTCGAGTCACGGTTCATACGCCACGCCACACCCGAACTGCAGTCACAACTCACTCAGCTCAGACCGCACTCATATCCTATACTAGGGGTACTCAATTCTGGGCCTGGAGGGCACGTTTTTGTGGTTTCTCTGCTCCAATACACTTGATTCAGTGGTTGAATCACCCGAGCATCAGCTCATCAGGTTCTGCAGAAACCTGTTAATCACCTGCTGATTGAAATCAGATGTGTTGAAGCTGGTTCAAAACCAAATCGTGCTGGGTACCGGCCCTCCAGGCCCAGAACTGAATACCCCTGTCCTATCCCATCGCTATTCAGTCCTGTTAGGGAGTGCCCTGCATGTTTTAGCCATTCCCCTGCTCCAATACACCTGATCTGATCATTTAATCATCTCTTCACCACATCCTCAAGTTCTTCAGAAGCCTGTTAATCACCCGTTGAATCACCAGGGTTGAACAGCCTTGTCCTAGACTGAGTGTACAAGTGTAAACATTTAGATTTGAAACTTGCCTGCTTGGTGAGAACATAGTAAGCGAAGGCCCCCATGCTAGTACCATAGGTGATGAAGTATGTGACAGGCTCCATCACATCCCATGAATAGACCCACCAGGTGAGCCAAGCCAGGGCGCCGCCCTGCACTGACAGCAGTGCCATCCCAGTCCAGAGGGCCCTGGAGGAGTGAAACTCTGCTCTTTGCGACAGCTGGACCTTCATCTGAAAGGTCACAGAACAAGATGGTTACCACCTTTTGGAAGTCCAGTTTAGCCAGCCAAGCACACCCGTTGCTTTTGTTCTGAAATAAAGGAGAAATGGTCCTTTCACAGCACACTAATGCACATCCACAACCTTCTCAAGAGGCGACAGCTCTTGTTTGATGCTGTCCAGTTTCTCCAGCAGCTGCCTCTCCTTCAGCAGGTGGTGTTCGGGCAGGTGGAGCGCCGTGTGCAGCAGGTTCACAACATGTTTCACGTCCTCCATCTCTCTGGCGTGCTCTCTAGATGGAAACACTGCAGCAGACGGCACAACCAAGGAGAAGGATGAAAGAGTCCAAATAAAAATGTGGAGTTATGCCAAGAAACAGAAATGTGAGGATTTCTCAGCAGGACTGATCGTAACCATGAACCAGACTACATGTTTCACCCTTTTCAGGAACACGGATGCTGTAGAATGACTCATTGATGACAAGCTGGAAGTCTTTCTCCAGCAGGGTATCGACGAGTGTGGTGTTGGCAACACGTTCCCCATCTGGTGAAAAAAGGGTATTTTTAAAGAGCAAGTCACCCCCAAATCAACTTTTTTCCCCTGATGAACTAAATAAACGAGTGTCTAATCGTGCTGCAGACACGTGTCGTCAATAGTTTTGCACTTTAGTGCATTTTAGTTAAAATTTTAATTTTCTGCCTAATACTGTCAGTGTTGTGCCGTTGTCAGGTAAAAACTCTGCACTGTATTTGAATTTAAATCTGCCACCGCTATTGGCTAAGAGGTATGCTATGATGTAAACTGGTACATTATGATGTCACAATGCTGTGGTGAGCCTGTGTGTGTGTGTATTTGATAGCGGCTCCGCCCTCTCGGTCTGCAAGGCAACAGCATTTGTTGCATTTTTTAAACATGAAGTGAGAGTGGAGTTAGACTCTGGTAGGGGGTGACTTGCTCTTTAATTAGAATCATCCCAAAAATAGCATCAACTAATCAGCGCCGTAAAAAGCTGCAGGAAAACTAACTCTACAGACCAAGAGTCACAAGCTAGGCTAAAGCTGCCCTCGCTACAGGTTGCAGATACAGATACAAGACAATAAATTAAAATACAAAAGTCCACATTGGTGACAGCTGAGCTGGTGAGTCCAAACAGAGACTGCACTAGCACGTTTGTGTCCTGGTTGGGTTGAATAAAGTGGTTAATTTCTGTAATTTGTATTTTTGTTCTTTGCTGACTGCAAAACAATTTTGCCTCCTGGGAACAAAAATGTTTACCAGAATCAGAATTCACAAACAACGAAAAAAGAAACATTAATTAGAAGGATGTTACTCAGCTTTGCAGAGTATGTGATGTAGATAAAGACATTTTTGTTGCACATCAGTTCCAACAAAACCGGTGTTCTTACTGTTGAAGGAAGTAACTTAAGGAATGTTGTATTATGGACAAAAGGAAACACTAACCGTCTTTGTAACTCCTCTAGTGAAGAACGCTCATTACTCATTAAATGCTCAACAATAAAACCTTTTAAAGTGTTCAAAGTACTTTAACAGTTTACTGTGCATCATCCAGATTGTGGCCTGAAGCCGTTAATCCAGTGTTTCTCAACTATTTTCTGTGAAGCCCCCCTAGGATGCATTTGACCTTCTTTATCCCAGAGCTGAGGTGGGAGTGAGTTAAGTCTGGCATCTGCTTTGTATTCTCTGTCAGGGAACCTCCGCCTCTCCCACGCACCCGCTGGGGGGCACTAATAACTGAGAACCACTGCATTAACCAGGACTGACTGCACAAGGCTGTTTGGATCACCAGAAAACCAAGACGCTTGGTTAGCAGTCACCAGTCCCACTAGACTAGCTCTTCAAATGGAAGAGGTTCTATTCATTCTATCCGTTCTCCTCTTTAAGGCCAAATCTATTTTAGAATAATTTCACAGATCATAGTAATCTGCTGATGTTGTCATTTCTACTCAAGCTGCTATTTATCTCAAAGTGTTCCCAGATGCATTTATTTTTGTGTGGAGCGAAGAATGCCTGAGATCTGTCTCAGAACCTCATTTTAATGTTACGATTAGTGAAGGAATATCATGTTTGAAGATTGTTAAACTGAGAAACAGCAGGGACAAAACATCCAAGTAATTAAAAGGTACCGTTTCTTTATATCTACGCCCTGAAAACTGTAAATATTCAGTCAACACTGAAGAATGTGTTGCATTTCTACAAACACAACTTTAAGTCATTTGCAGTAACATGAGCAAAGTGTACAATTTTAATTCACCATTTCATAATTTGACGTAAAAATGTATGATTTTCAAATAACATCCACATGAGTTCAAGGATTAAGAATGAAAAAGAAAGTTTTTTGGTGAATATCCAACAAACTACTTCAAAAGCATCTGATATGAGAAGAGCATGATGGTGTAGCTGCACGTTGTGTCCACATCAGTATGCGCTCCAACATCTGTAGGGTTTCACTTGAAGGTTTCTAAATATTTCTACTTCAGTTCTAAATTTTTTACAATGAGCTGAAGCTTACAAACCAGACTGACAGTGCAGCAGCATAAACGGTTACACCAGTGCTGCAGATGACACACAAAGCCACACACACACCTGTTGAGAGAACAGAAACAACAGCTCCACAGTCTTCTTTCTGCAGCTCGGTAATCAGGTCTCCCACAGTCATTAGCATGGGCCTCAGGAAGAACACACACTTCTCTTTCCTGGATGGCAGTGGCACCTCAAGCACCAGACGGCCATATTTATGCTTCAGAGACACGTCTGCAGCAGAGAGAGAGGGATCTGCTTTCAAAGGTTCTCCAGTTTACAGCTAATTACTGAAGTGTTGTAAAAAAAATAACGTGTATTCATCCAGAGAGGAAGGAATTTAAATACATAGAAACGTGTCATCCAGTAGATGTAAAATCGGCATCTTACCACCGGAGGGGGCTAGTGTGCTGCAGAAAACAGCCTGGGGATTTCCGAGCAAAGGATGTCTGCGACCCACCTGAGCAGGAAGGAAGAAGTATTTAAGAGCTCTCTCTCTCTCTCTCTCTCTCTCTCTCTCTCTCTCTCTCTCTCTCTCTCTCTCTCTCTCTCTCTCTCTCTCTCTCTCTCTCTCTCTCTCTCTCTCTCTCTCTCTCTCTCTCTCTCTCTCTCTCTCTCTCTCTCTCTCTCTCTCTCTCTCTCTCTCTCTCTCTCTCTCTCTCTCTCTCTCTCTCTCTCTCTCTCTCTCTCTCTCTCTCTCTCTCTCTCTCTCTCTCTCTCTCTCTCTCTCTCTCTCTCTCTCTCCCCCCCCCCCCCCCCCCCCCCCCCATCTCAAGTTAATGGATTGCGCCCAACCCTAACCAGTCTACTCCTAACCCTAACTTTAACTAAAACTTAATTCACACCATACCTCTAAAACCAATTGGTAAGCTTCTAAAAAAAAGTGGTGACCAAAAAATGTCCTCACATTGAAAATAGTCCTCAGCAGGTAGTGTGGTGGATTGGAGTAGTCTCGGGTCATCGATTGTGTTTTACCTGTCGCGCACATGCGTGGGAATTTAGTATAGTGAGCAGGCGATGGGGAAGTCAGCCTTTGCCAACCGCTCAAATGCCTTTTGCAGAGATTATTATCTCTACTTTGTGTGATGCTTGTGAACGCTGATTGAAGGAAATATTTTTGACAACCCATAAAGTCGCTTGAATCGAAACCTGGACTGGAATGGCTCTGAGGGTGCGTCAACACATCCCCTAATTAGCTGCTCGGCGACCCAATGGTTTGACTCGCCAACAGGTAGTACATACAACACACACACACACACACACACACACACACACACACACACACACACACACACACACACACACACACACACACACACACACACACACACACACACACACTTTCCTTAGTACACCACCCTGTCAGCAACTACCAGAGAGCAAACAGATCCTTCAGATAACAGAATCTACCAGTAAGACAACTTTTCTGTTTGTACTCCTCTAACTGGAAACCGGACCAGCTAGGGAACACTGTTCTCATCTGAATGAGCTCCTGCTTGCTGATGCATCACTTTTCTATTAATTTGAACAGATAACTATTCGAATATGTCCCTCAGCAGGAGCCTCCCACTGATGATGGATCACAAACAATTCATTCACACGACTGGTGTGCCCTCTAGTTGCTATTCACTGGGTGTAGTCCCTGCAGTTCAAATGCTAACTCATTAAACGTTATTGAGTTCTGCTACAATGAAACTTCTGCATCAGGTAAGAAAACATGTGATTTGCCTTGAGGGAAACAACTAAAGCATCCAAAGCAACCAACCAAATATGTGATGTCATACGACCAAAACAGATTTTACTTAAATAAAAATAAAAAAGAGAGACTTCATAGGGCTGTCACGGTAACCGCAAAAATGAAATATCGCAATATGAAGAAGCCCACCGCGCTGCATCATGGGCCACCGCGATGACTGAACTTGGTTCAACTCAGTGATGCATGTTGAGAAGGATGGCTGCACTGGTATCAAAACAAAGCGTTACTTCGCTCCTTTGGGAGCACTTCGGTTTTCAGTACGTCAGCTGCTGCGCAGCCAGAGTCCTTGGCCGAGACGGAGATGCCACCAGTGGCAAAAATAAATAAATAAATAAACGCTCGGAGACCTGCTGAAGTCCCGGACAAGCACTGCTTCTGCAACCGTCCCGAAGAGAGTTTGAGCCGAGCTGGAGCTCACTCGCTACCTGCAGGAGGAATGCATCCACCCTAAAGAACCCCCCCTGACATGGTGGAGCAACAACCGGGAGAGATTCCCTTTGCTCGCCAGTCGCAGCAAGTACGTGTGTGCAAAGCCTGATTTAAGTTTGGTTTATGCTTGACGCATTCACTTTCCGCGCGGTGATGCGGCTCGCGGATGGAACGTGCTTCACAACTCGCAGCTTTTAGTGCAACGAGCGCACCATCCGAGAGGGTTTTCAGTGTTGCTGCAAATGTTGCCCCCCCTCTCAGATCCTCTCTCAAACCGTATATGGCTAACATGCTGGTTTTCCTCGTGGGTAACAAGGACGTGACCGAGCTATAAATCACCGTCATTCGTGTGTGTGAAAGTGAAATGATAGTGCCCCGCGCCCGGTACATGTAATTTTTTATGCTTGATTTTAAACAACTAAACAAAATGGGGACTTGTTTCTTATTTATTAGATGCTGCAGCCAAATTTGCATTTAAAAGTTTAACCTTCTCCTGAATGTTGTTGTTTTTAAGTTCAGTCGGACTCCGACTGTCGGAGAAACAAACGTTACTGCGATCTGTGTTGTTACTGCCCTTTGATCTGCATTCAGTAAAGTGTTATAAAAGAAGGCACGGCAATTTTTAACCTTTTTTTTTAAATGTGTAAACATTATGTTTAGATAGTACTGCAATAAAAAAGTGCTGCAATAATATCGCACACCGCAATATTAAGCCACCCTGAATCACCGCAGGAGGAATTCCTCAACGGCGACAGCCCTACTTCTTCACAGTATTTTGTTTTAGTTAGAAGTCACACTAGGATAGATTTTAATCCAACAGCCTGTGACGTAGTTGACACTCTCAGCTGTCCTCTCATCTTCCAGCTGGGGCTTTGTTCAACCAATATTACATTAAAGAGAACCGAGGGAGCTGCCTGTGATGTTTCATGGGTGGAGAAAAGAAATAAAGCAGGAAGCCTGGGCCAGTTGGGTTGCCCTTTCCACTTCACCGATGAGGAGATGAGACGGCCGTCTACAAGAACAAAACTAAAAGGCTTTGAATGGAACTGTAGCAAGAGCATCAGGAAAACAATCCAAGATAAACAGAAGTTAGAGGAAACTAAATTAAATAATAAAAAGTACTGTGCAAACTCAAAGATTCAGAATAATTACGAAGGATGCTCCTGATCAAGTTTTTTGCTGCCAATCACTGATCTCAATCACTGAAACCGATTACATCTGAACAGCCTAAATAGTGCAGAGTAGCAAAATAAATCTCACAACTTTGTGTGTTGTGAGGCTTTTATTTGATTTATTATTATTGAATTAGTTTGAAGAGTTAATGATGCGAGAGTTAGAGCCAATGTGAGAAGCCAGAATAAAAGACCCCTAACCAAGTAACCCAAGAAAGTCAGCCATTGTGTTATTATTTATTTATTTATTTATTTATTATCAGTAGCGGCTCCAAGTGGGTGGAACATGGTGTCGTCCACCACACAGAAAAGGTGATCCTCTACGGTTAGTCCTGTGACGATGAAGCTGCGTTGGATGGGTCCGACTGTGGCTCCAAGTGTGTTTTTATTTCTGCAGGAAGAAAAGAAAACTCACCTCACTCCGCCCAGAGCTTTTTCAAAGCCCAACTAAATCCTTTAACGAGCTTCTCCCACAGATTCAGATCACTCTCACAGAGTTAAAGTTTGTTTTACACGTTTGACGCTGCGCACATGCATAGTGTGAGGGGAGTGGGGAAGTGATGCCACACACGGTCTCTGCTGGCTACAAAGTATGAATGACAGGTGAGATCGACTGGTATGATCGGCTCTGAAAGTCTTTGGTCGGAATTAGCAGATCACATTTTCCACGAAAATTGGCCGACTTTGTTCTGTGGCCGATCAATCAGAACCCCCCTAATAATTACATATACATTAAAAACTACAAAGTATCACAAAATAAATATATTTAGTTGGAGGGAGCAGTGTTAAATTGGGTTAAGGAGAAGCCTTTCCCGCAAAAATCTTTCAACAACTGTTTGGTAACATTTTGGATTTGGTCGCCGTTGCCGGCTACCACCAGCCGCTACCCGCTGCCCACGCCCACTGCTTCAACAGCAGAACCATCCTCCATTTCCTCAACAACTTTCCCTTCTTCTTATAGACCTGATTGGGTGGAGTCACATGACTACACAAAGTCATGTGACTCCACCCCATCTAGATGTAGCAGAGCATCTGAAGTAGGGCTGGGCAATAAATGGAAACTGTATCGTTATTGAAACTCTTGACTCTTTCTGACCTGTGGCCCTTCACACTCTCCATTGGACGCTCCTATAGAGAAACCTTACATAAACAAGCGCGTGTACAATAGGGCTGTAGCGAAGCCTCGACGAAGTCGACGGCTCGATTCTTAAGATTTGTCGACGTCAGATCCGGTAGTCGACGCACCGCGCCCACTTGTTGCATCCCAGGAGTTTGTAAATAGAGGAGGAATCTGCCTGTTTTTCCTCTAGTTCGCCCTCTTCTCCGCCTTCACTAACATCTCCACCAAATACCGAAAACCCGGAACAACGTCCGTCCACTACTAGATTATTTTCCTGTTTTGTACACCTTCGTCTCCCGGCAACAGACAACAACTTCCGGGGTCAGATGCGCTGCTTCGTCTCTACCGCAGATGTAGAACATCACCGGGAGCGTTTCTCCCTTCATTAAGGAGCTTCTTTCAGACATGAGGAGAGCTGTTTTGGTGGTAGCAGTCTCTCCTCCGTGCTGGTCTGTTTGCTGCTGAGTGTTTTTGGTTTATTTAAACTTGGTAACTTGAACTTAACGTTGGTAAAGCTACTGTTAGCATCTTCGCTAACAGCTTCTTGCGTTTGGATAAGCTGTTACGTTTTGGTTTAGAGTTCATCTTTTTTGTGGTGCAGATCTCCCTTTTATTACATTTAGAGTGTTGTGGGTTTTCGGTTTAGTTTAAAATATCACCTGAGTTTGGTTTAACCACCCAGTTTAGAGTTTGGAACTTTGGAGATTCTTATTTTGGTCCAGGACCCTGTAATCTTTGCCCAGCGGGACATCCCTACTTATTTGTACTTTTGTTTTAATTCCCCACAGGCAGAATTAGTTTTATTATTCCCAACCTGTGGATGGAAAGATTTATGTTTTTTTTGTAGTTGTAAATAAATTTGATCACCATTTTAACTTTTAAATCCCGCGTTATTGACCCTTCCTTTTTGCACACGAGCCAAACTCCCCAGGAAGAGTCGTAACACCACTCGCCTCACGCACATAAGTGACCAAAACAAAGCA